GGGAGGGTAAGCGAATCGGCGTTCGGTGCTACGTCGTCCTGTTCGCTCTAGGGTTCAGCTTGGGAGGGTAAGCGAATCGGCGTTCGGTGCTACGTCGTCCTGTTCGCTCTAGGGTTCAGCTTTCTCTTCAGCCTTTTCTCGCTAATCCTCTGGGGGAGGGTAAGCGAATCGGCGTTCGGTGCTACGTCGTCCTGTTCGCTCTAGGGTTCAGCTTTCTCTTCAGCCTTTTCTCGCTAATCCTCTGGGGCGCCAGCAAAGCCTACAAGCCTGAGGTCTACATTAAGGTACTGCTGAAATTGGGGGGGCCTAATCGTAATTTTTTTAAGTTTCAAATTTTTCGAAACAGACCTTTTCAAAGAAGAAAATTATCAGTTTCGACTTAGATTCTGAAAATGCTCATGTTTCCGGGGGGGTGTTTTTGCATTATCAGAGCGTGGTGTTCGAGTTCTACAACGTGCAGGCGGGGATGGATCAGACCGGGGTTCCGACCGAGATGCTGTCGTTGAATTCGACGGTCAAGATTAAGTTCCGGAACACGGCGACGTTCTTCGGCGTGCACGTGAGCTCCACGCCGCTGGAGCTTTACTACGACGACCTCAAAGTTGCGTCGGGTCAGGTAATTTAATTTCGCGTGCCCTTTTTTGTACATAATGCGGGTTGTTTAAAATTCGAAATTTCAAATTTAAACCTAATGAGTACTAAATATATGTGAGAAAAAAAAATATTTTGTTCAAGATAAGGAAATTGTGATATTGGTTAAACTTAACCGAATAGAAGATATACCTAAAATTGTTCTGTACCAATACAATTACAGTTGTTTATTTTGAGGTACAAATACAATTTATATTGAATATTGTATTTTATTATTGTAAATTTAATATCTTTTGCTCAAAAATTTACAACTGTGCATTAGTAGTCACTGTCTTAAAAAGAATAGGCTAATAAATAGCACTTAAATACCTCATAGCTTCACTCTTCACTCACTTGGCCCTTATATATGCTCCTTTGTTTTTTTTAGCGTTCCCTAAGTTTTAAAATTGGCACGTTAGAGCATCTCCAACTGTACTTCAAAAAGCCATTTTACGGCAAAAGAACACCAAAACTTCCTCTGGCCTAGCATCGAAACCTACGCTATTTTGGGGCGCTGTTACAGTGTTGCATCAATAATGACGCAACACTGTAGATATGGAGTTTTTTCTTTTTCCCAGTTTGCCCTTAAATTGATTATAACAAATTAAATATTCCAACCATATCCCATTTTATCCATCATATTTCTTATTTTATGTAAAATTTGGTGTAATGGGTTGGAGATGGAATAGTAATTTGGTGTAAAAACTGCACCATTTTGAATTTTTGGGTTGGAGATGCTCTTAGTACCCTAAGTTTCAAAATTGGCACTTAGTACCCTTAATTATGTAGGCGTGAATATCTTAACCCAAATGTTCCGGTATGATACTTTTAGGCTAATTATGTAGGCGTGAATATCTTAACCCAAATTGGCACTTAGTACCCTTAATTATGTAGGTTAATATTTGCTAAATTTATTGTTAAACCTATTCTCGCTCTAATTAGATAAGTTAAAAAAAAATTTGTCAATTTAAAAGTAAATTTAATAAATATTAATTCTTAGAAAGCTCTATATTTAGCTTGTAAGTGCCATAGAGTAAATTTTCAGATTTGCATTATTGAGGCAACAAACATGCTAATTTTAAATAATTTGGGAGTAGATAAATGCTAAGAAAACTAATAGAAATTAGAAAAAATTGCTTCAAGGCCTCAAATTCTAAGTTCCATTGTGTCCTACCCCCTTCAACTTTCACCAATGTGTTGCAGTCCATGTTTTTTTGTAAAAATTGTGTCTAGGCCCCTCCAGCTCACCTCCCACAAGTTCCAATGCATTTTCTTTAAAAAAACCCGATTTTGCTCTCTCCCCTACATCTCCCTCCTCCTCTCCCCCGCCTCCCTCCTACACCTCCCTCCTCCTCCTCCGGTCCCCCTCAGCCCCCTCCTCTGCCAAGCTCCCGTCTCCTTCCCTCCCAACTCCCCAACTTCCCTCCCCCGCTCCGAGCCTCCTCCCCCCAGCCACACCCTCCCCACATGCACCTCCCCCTACACCTCCATACTCCTCCTGTCCCCCTCCCTCACATCCCTCCCCCGCTCCGCCGCCGACATCGTCTCGAGGAACTATGTGTCTTATAGTTAATATGTTAACTATTATAAGTAAAATGTTAACTATTATAGATAACATGTTAATTATTACAGTTCACACATTAAGCTCAAAACATATTTATGAAATTATAACAGTTAACATGTTATCTATAACAGTTAACATGAGTTGGGATGAGCTGTCATGAGAAAGAGAAAGTGTAAAATTGGGATCATGACCTGACATGTCTAATCGTGAGCTGGAATTATGATGGAGGGCTTGCAGCACAATTTTTTCAAAACACAGGGCCTGCAACACATTGGTGGAAGTTGGAGGGGTTGGGACACGATTTTTTCAAAACACAGGGGCTGCGACACATTGGTGAAAGTTAGAGGGGTTGGGCCACAATGAAACTTGGAATTTGAGGCCTTTAAGCAATTTTTCCTAGAAATTACATACTCGAGCAAATGAGCGAAACTACGAAGTTTCTAAATGTTATTTTATTTATCCATAATATCCGGGCCCCATTATGTTTAAATGTACGTATATAACTTTCAAAAGTCTCTACTTTCACGTGACTCCGAAACCAACTTGCTTTTATGAGACCCTGACAGCCTCTGTCAGAATTTGGCACGGCACATGAAAAAGGAAGGACAAGACCGCAAAGCATTGATTAGAAAAAGAAAAAAGAAAAAAAAACATTCTCCCTCCATAAAATTTTATTCGCTACGAAATTACTAATTTATCGCTTTAAACAAACTAACACAGATGAAGGAATTCTACGAATCAAGAAAGAGCGGGCGAGTCGTATCCGTATCCGTATCGGGGACCCAAATACCCCTGTACGGAGGTGGCTCGAGCCTGAACAGCGGGCCCACTGAAAACGGTGCGCCCGTCGCGGTTCCGTTGGACCTGACCTTTGCGATCCGGGCTCGAGCCCACGTGCTCGGCAAGCTGGTCAAGTCCAAGTTCTACCGTCACGTGCACTGCACGCTTCATCTGCGTGGGAAGAGGCTTGGGAAGCCGGTGGCTGGGATAAAAAAGGCGTGCGAATATCGTGACTGAACAAACATTTGGAATCTTTGTCGGTCAAAGTTATTGTTGTTGGGCGTCGTTATTACGGGAGAAAAAGGAAGAGCCCGGGATGGAAATTTCCTGTTTGTCTTGTTGTTGGGCAGTTAACTATTGTAGTAGATTTAGGAGATATTTTGGATATGTACTATTATGTTTTTTTTATTTGTGCACAATCTTCTTTGATTTGTCTTGCCTATAGAACTTGAGATATCATAAATGAACAGTGATAATTACACTACTCTGTTGATACCATTTCTATTTCTACACTGCCAAAGAGAAAAATGTGAAGCCTAACCTACTTGCACACGGCTTTTACACTCTTGTAGTGTGAAAATAGTGTAATTTAGTTATCATTATTCATATTAAATATGCGATTTGAAGCAAATCACAAATTTTGATGACCGGAAGAAGAAATAGTGAGTTTTGGGTAGATATGGCATAAATATTCTTGAGACAGTTAATATTTTGTATTTAGCCCCCTAACTCTTATATTCAAAGTTTTTAGTATTGTAAAAATAATAATTGAATAATTTTATTTACTTTAAAACAAAGTAATTATGGTTGTTTTTGATAAACTTTTTAGTATAATATTTTAATTTTATTGCTTAAATTCAAGGAAGGGGTAAATTTGAAGGACGAATGATAATTATGGAGGAAAAAAGTTGCGATTACGTGATTTGAATGATAACCTCACAATATTTATATTTCCTAAGAATTGTGAGCGATGATAGACCACAAAACAACAATTCACCCTGAAGAGAAATAGCTGTATTCGGCAAGGCAAATAAAATAAATAAATAAAAAACCATGCTTGTGAATGGTAGTATATATAACAGCTAGTAATATGGAAGTTGAAGTGCAATTATTATTTTCCTTAATTGTCATTTGGTTTGAATAGATCGCACGATATTCTTAAATATAAGAATGGGTGATTTAGTGTAATTAATGATTTTAAGTTTATTTCTGGACAACGTAAAATATCCAAACAGATCTCATAATATTTATGACAAAACACCATGATAATTTGCATTTATCCCTCCCATAGTTTCTCAATTTAGTCGCAATTATTCCCTCTACAGTTTATTTTTTTCCCATCACTTTTCCAAATACATCCAATTAATACATGCCTACTGCACCCTAAACGAGCTCGACGCACCGGTAAAATACTGCGTCCCGCGCAACAATTCGAAGTACGCACCGAAATGCCTGAGCCTGTAAACCCCGGCAACAACACCCCCCGGAATCTCCCACTCAATCGCCGCGAAACCCCCGCCATCCTTCTTCGTCCACCCGAACACCAGCGATATGTCATCGTCGTCACACACCGGTACCCAAACCTCTCCTTTTCCCTCCTCCAACATCTCCACCGACGCGAAAGTGCCCTCGGTCAGTAGATCGTTTCGCGGGTTGGCGCTGTAGAACGTCGCGGTGGCTCTATCGCCTTTGGAGAAGTGGCCTTTCGGTGGGATGACGACGTCTTGTTTGGTATCGCCGAAGGTTTTGTACGTGGGTGTCGCGTCGGGGAAGGGGCGGGGGACGAGGGAGATGAGGTGGGAGGAGAGGTCCGGAGGCGAGAGGGGGCGGGCTTTGGGGGGCGTACTATTGCCTTGGATAAATAGCAATTAATGGGGTCTATCTAAGATTAGGCGATATCATTAAGGGAGACTATCCACAGTTAACCCGGAAACAACAAAATCAAATTATGCATAAGACTTCATAATATATATACATAGAACATGCGAGATCAATCAAGATGAAACATTTGTTAAATCAGTTTTTGATAGACTAGTATAAAATCAGAGGTCTGGTTAATACATATATACGTGTGTATTTGTGTTCATATTCAAATTTTATTGGTTAATTGCAGATAGAACCCAATAGTACTGCTGTTTCAAACTTACTACCAACAGTTCAATTTTTACATATAGGCCATGGATTGAAATTTTTTTTTACCTTTTTTCCCTCAAAGAAAGAGAAAATAGTTTTTGACTAATACGCTTTCTAGGGGTGTGTCAGATAACCAACAAAAATGGGGCCAAGTTTGAACTTGGTTCTTGTTTTGGCATAAAATGTGTTTGTGAAAAATTGGGCTTGCTCTTACCCAATTTTTCCTAGGCCAGAAAAAGCCTCATTGGTTCTCTTTAGAACCAGCACTCCCTTAAATTGTGTCTTCTCAAAACTAGACGGAGATTAGTCCTATCTCAATGAAAAATGTCTTAATGACCCAAAATATGGAACCAATGGAGGGGATAAATGAAGCGTCCCCTCCCTATTGCATAATGAGCTGGTCATGTCAGCTCATTATGCAATAGGAGGGGAACGTCTCACATGTCCCCTCCAATAGTTCCATATTTTGGGTCCCTGTAGCAGAGCTCGCCAGGGTAGTAAGTTTTCAAAAACATTTGGTCTTTTGGGGCCATGTTTACCTCGTATCTCTGCTGCTGGTACTCTTCAAACGTGGTGATATACTGAGAATAAGCATTTGAGAGCCCAGCTATCACAACTTCCGTACTGTCATCAAACTCTCCGTCCCCGTTGCTAACCAATGCATCCTTCACTGCTTCTCTCAGCCTCCTCCCCGCCATCGTCGTAAATTCTGCGCATCCAAATAATCAGTAGATTAACGCTCTTATTCTTTGATTAGTTCACTTCTTTTGGGTGAAAGCATGTTTGAGTTCAGAATTTAGTTGGTACCTCCTGGCACAGAGAGCACAATAAGTTTCCCTACTCTTAGCATTTGAATCGGCAAAATGGCTGGCTGAATTAAAAAACATGGCGTGTTATAAAACTCATAATAATGGGCTAAATAACCATATTGGTATTTTAATTCCACCAAATTTACCAAGAATGTATTTTAATTAGGAAAATCTGCTTTAAGGCATTTTAATTGATTCAACTTACCAACAAGGCCATTTTTCTCGTCGGCGACCAGTTTTCCAACGAGAGCTCGTCACGTGTGTGACACGTAATGACTTAAGCTATTTTTAGCTGCTGATGTGGCACGAATCTGTCCTATTTTGGGTGAATTGAGATTTTTAGATGGTTAATTCCCGCCTTTAAACACTGTCACGTCAGAAAATCCGTGCCACATCAGCAGCTAAAAAATAGTTTAAATCATCACGTGCCACACATGTGACGAGCTCTTGCCGGAAAACTGGTCGCCGACGAGAAAAGGACCTTATTGGTAAGTTGAATCAATTAAAATGCCTTAAAGCAGGTTTGACTAATTAAAATACCTTCTTGATAAATATGGTGGAATTAAAATACCAATATGGGTATTTAGCCCATAATAATATATAAAGTTCATTGCGAAAGGTTAGAAATTGTAAATCTTACAGCCCACGCGTAAGGCTCAAACATCTCCCCAGCGCTCAGCAACACCGGCTTAGGCTTTTGGCACTCTATCTGCTCCTTGCTCGGCTCCTTCAACATATTTCTCACCATTTCCCAAAACGGATTGATCTGCTCCCCAGTTTCATTTCATTGCACAAAACAATCGTTATTTCTCTAAGGGTTCTTTCTTTATGTTAGCTCATTATATCAGTGATATGTTGAAATTGGTCCTCAAATCATTAAAATTGTTAATTAGTCCCTTCAACTTAATCTTTATTATGGGTTTTCAATTATATCCCTATGTTTAAGTTTCTCAAAACCTAAACCTGTCTTTTTAGGGACAGTTTGATATTACTAGAGCTTATAATAAGTTACTAGCTATGAAAACATTAATAGAAGAAACTTATATAATTTGCTAAAATTTGCACTTTGGTAATCAAATATTAAAAAGTGCTTAAAAAACAATTGAGGTATTTGGTAGCACTGTGTTTAATGATCAATATTGAAAGATATAAGGAATACATAGAATATATGAATTAAAAGAAACACAATTTGCTTTTAAGATATCATTAGTTTGCTTCTAGAAGAACCCCCTCGAAAGCAGAAACAGCTTCAATAAGCATGCTAACAAAGTTCTCGCCAAACATCATTGTTGGCTATTTCTTGACCCATTCGAAGCCCTTTCTTTGAACTCGTTTCTTAAGATTTTTACAGATTTGACCGGGAAACGACTAATTCTGGGTAGAGATGTAATTGAAGATATCATGTGGTTTAACAACTACAATTTGAGTTAGCAATTTAGTAAGTATAACTAACAGAATCACTAAATTGAAATAACTAACGAGGTCTGAGGGATTAAATGACAATTTCATTGCTTTGAGTGACTAATTTCAAAATATTTATGATGGAAGGGACTAATATGGGAAAAAGACCTTGGAATTAAAGCTTTAAGTTTAACGACTGACCTCAGTATCCCCTTGCTGAAACCCAAACGCACCCGGCCCATCCGTAGTCCCTGCGGCAAAGCCCGCCCCAAGCGCCGCCGGGCACGTGCGTCCCGTTCTCCCATCTCCGAGGTCCACGTGGAGGCTTGTGAAGTTGACGTACGTGTGCCGGAAGTCAACCTTTCCAGTCAACTCCTCGTTTGCTGACTCAAAAAGGTCAACGGCGACTCTGAACTGCCTCTCTCCGATGATCCTCGTGCTCTTGACCTCGTCCGGATACCTACAAAATTAGATAAAGAATTATGGGATTTTTTAAAATTCATATAATTAAACGGACTAGTCTATATATATATGTTCTAGTATCAACGATTTTATTTCATGTTGCAATTGTTTTTGCATTTTAAAAAAAAAATACACATTAGTATTTGTTACGATTTAAAATTGAGTGTGAAATACATAATGTGTTCTTCTTCCATCCTAGATGATCTCTACATGAATTACTTGAATCGTTAATTAACTTTATAATTGATAGTGCGTCGTATCTAGTAAATGAGATCAATGTCATATCAATAATGCATCAAACGAATATCAGCTTTAATAATATCAGATTCTATGAGTTGCACGCTTATTCAAGAATTAACATCCATTTAGGGGCTGTTTGTTTCACCATTTTTATGGAAAAGTAATAGGATTTAGGTCTGACTATGACAAAATTGTAAATAAAAGATTCTTTATGAATCATATTCTTGAATTTGGTTCCCCAAAAATTTATAGATTTCGGAATCTATAAAGTTAAAAAAAATATGCCGATTTTATAAAAACCCAAATCCTAATGTTTTGAGCGGATTTGGGCCAGAAAGCTGACGCATTTGTACTATTCTCCCTCTTTTTTTTCGGATTTCGTTTATTCACAAACCCTATATTATTATGAGAGCAAATTTTATTCTCATTCTAATCCAAACTAAAGAATAGGAATTGAAGGGTTTCTATAAAGTTGGATTCTGTTTTTTATGTTATGAAACAAACATAGAAATAAAAAAAAAGGATTCATTGACAACATAAAATTGTCTTAAATTTTTTTATGGATTTTTGCTAGGAATCCATAAAAAATATGAGATTCCTAATCCTATTCTTGCCCGCTATTGAACCAAACACCCCCTTAATGCACGTGGACCAAGATATACTTACCCGGGTCCGCGGCCAACGCAAAGCTGATCATTCCCGCCACAAGAAGACCGGTTAAAATCACACGGCCTCCCTGTATCCGCACAAAAAGCCCCCAACACATTCGGACTCACATCCCCAACATTACTTTGACAGAAAGCCCCCACGAACTTTTGCCTCCTCACTTTAAACCCCCTGCTCGTCCCATCACCACAAATCTCCCCTCCCGTCGCGCCAAATCCCTTCGCTAACGTCGGAGACGAAGATGGGGTCATAGTCCTGTTGAGGGAGAAGTGGTCTTCGAACAAGCGGGAGGCGAGGCCCTTGTTGTCGCCGCTGATGAGGGAGTTTGTTCGGGACATGGAGGTGCCGTGAGTGGCGAACCAGTTGAAGGAGCCGATGGGGGTCGAGGTTCTGGCGTCGACGAATTTGAGGAGGGTCATGGTGGTGTCGACGTTGGTGGGGTAGCGGGAACGTTCGTCGGGAGGGTTGAGGAGGTAGGCGCTCGGGCTTCGGTTTATTCCGGCGTCTGGTACATCACCTGCAAGACAACAACTTACGGTGTGTTTAGATACACATAGCTAAATGTTGTTTGTTGCAACTGCATCCAAATTTCAATATTTGATGATTAGATATATGTTGTTGCAAGTTAAGAGGTCATTGCAACAGCAAAATAGGCAAAATAAATAAATAAATAGAGGAATTGCAACTACATTCAAATACAATAGTTGTTCCAATCGAACATATCCTTATTTACGATTTGTACTAGAATGTCGTCGAGCCACTGTTTTGTTCACTATAACTGATTGTTACAATTAGTGTCGATCTAGGCCACACTTACTTGATTCAATTCTAAATTTTTACCATTTTTTACGATTGCAGTTGTAGTTGCATGTGTCTGTTTATAGACATCAAGATGCTTTTGGATTTAAAACCTTTCTGCTGCTTCAAAGATCACAGGCTTACAAGCTACATCTCACACAGAAACCTTCTACTATGTAACAACTGTTATAACTAAGTAATTACTCTATTGACATTAATTAAAATGATTAGATTATCAAATTTCTGAGTTTACTCTAAATTAATTTGCTAATACTTTGTGCACGATCAAGAATTTTTTTTACCTTTGTTGATGAAAATGGACCCAGGCTTCAGATTATCGTGCGCCTGGACTACGCTTTGCTCAATAGCATCGACTATCGCATCGAAGGACTGCTGGACAAAACCAAGCGACGTTACCGAATACAAAACGTACTGCAGGTAGCCACCGGGACCCGCATGTGTGTGGGTCCCGCTGATAGCTAAATTCTCCTCGTTGTACAAATCTCCATACCTAAAGCCAAGCATAAGAAACATAGGCATCATTAGTAAACGATTAGGATTCTCCCATAGTTAGAGACTATTTCCTAAACGATGACTATTTTGCAATTTTGTTATATATATTACGATGGAACAAATATAAGTGCAATCCGTGAAAGATAGGGTATTGATTAGAGTAAATGTGAGCTGGTGTGAGTTAGCCCTTCACGGTCCACATTATCGCGTCACTAATGAGGCACACATCCGACCCATCAGTTTTTTGATGATCAAAATATTAGCAGTTTTGATGCATGACATGTCAACGGTACGTTAGACAAGACTAAAATTGAGATACGTCATCCTTGTTTACTCTATCGATTATGTTAGGAATGAATCACACTCGCTTAAATGTCCGCCTACATATTATCGAAGGGTTGTGCTTAAGGAAATGGTCTCTCAACTATCAAAGTTGAGATAGCAAGGATTCAAATCCATTAATATATAAAACATGTTCAAGATCCAATCTACCGTCCAAAATCAGCGAAGATTGATTCATCTTTTCTTGATTACGACCATGAGAGCGGTCTGTTATTTAGTAAACGATCGTGATTTATTCCAAACATATCACTTTCCGCATCTTTTTCATTTGCAGTCCTTCATTTTTTTTTTTTTACTTTGTGCTTTAGAATTAAAAAAAAAATAGAAATAAAACATAAATTAAACACATAACCTTGATTTAAGCCTCTCAAGGACCTTAATAGTGACCAACTGAGAGGCCATGCAAGCATCAAGATTAACAAAAGCAACTCTTTTTCCTCTCTCTCCATCAGCAACAATGAATGCTCTCGCCCTCAACCTGAAGTGTATCCCCGCGGTGGTTTGCTCAAAATTAGCATAACCCATCATGTTAATATCCGCCGCTGGGCCGGTCATGTCATAACTCCCAAGCCCAATAAGGTATTGGGCCGTCGATTCTCCAGCCAGGATCGCCATCAGAGAGAAACATAATAGGGTTGGGATTGCTAGAAGTTTTAGCATTGCTTTGGTTGTTCTCAAAGGTAATGTGATTTTGTTGATTTAAGAGTTGAATTAATGTAGGTTTTGGTTGTGTTTATAACTTAGGTTTATGAATTTTATGGTGATACGATTCAAGGGGTGGATTTGTATTTTTGTTGCGGTGTTTAAGTTGGATTGTTGGCTTGTTTGCTTAGATTTGTCCGAGATCGAACTATGCTGTTTTCTTTTCGGCAAATTTGTAAGATTCTCTTGTTGATGGGCTAATTATAAAGGTTTGTAACCCATATACCAGTGAATTGGGCTCTACTTGCTGTCTCTTCTTGAGTTGACAAGCCCAATGCGCTTCAGACCCAGCATTATGGCAATTCCAATTATACGAGGGACTAATTTCAACGCAGACTAATATAAAAAAAACCCCGAAAAATAAATGTAAATATAATGTTAATTCACTTCGAAAAATACATGAACAGGAGCAGTAATTTAGTTTTGAAATTTGTACTACGAATTAGTAAAATTCTCTAGGGGGTGTTAATCATGTGACATTTTTGGGCGAAGTGGGATAATGTTTAAGTAGAATAAATTTGTTGCTAGCAGGATATTTTAGTATGATAAATAGTAACAGTTTTGAGAAGTGGGATATTTTGATAAAATAACGTGGTATAATTTTTTTTTATAATCCTAACATACATATTTATGCATTTTGAGTTTATAAATACTTTTTATTTATTTTACACTTGCTATTATTGATTGATAATTATTTATGAGAATGATGATTACTATTAGATAATTTTTGGTTAGCGTATACGAGATTAAAAAAATATTGTTATGATATATATTGTAGCTTTTTAATTTTTTAATTGTTATTATAGTACACGCCTAAAAAAAGGTTTTCATTTTTTTCCTCCCCGGGATCTCTTTCTCTCATCTCTCAATTTTATTGTTTAGTAAATTATGATCGATACAATCTTTACTATTAAGTTAATTATACAATTATAATATTCGGTAAAAAAAGAATATATCAGAGATGAATAAGAGGAAACGAGATCTGATCTAACGGCATGGTGTAATGATGGTGATGACCATAGCAAAAAAAGAAGAGTAGAAAAAAAAACATAAAAAAATAAAAATAATACAATCAATAGGAATTCTCCTTTTTCACCACCTAGTTCCAACCTAGAACTTGTGATAATTTGAGAGATTAGAACTCTTATTGTTGTATAGAAAAATAAAAAAAGTGAGATGATTTTTTACAATTGCCCTAGTTCTAGTTTTGTTAGAGTTCTAATTGAATAACGCTGTAAAATTTTGTTCTAATTTTAGTTCTAGTTAACTAACACTATAAAATTTTATTCCGTAATTATTATAGTTCTAATTTTAAGTTCTATTTGACTAACCCCACTTAGGAGCTGCTTGGATTAAGACAAAATACTGTTGGATTTAATCTAATAAATCTATTTGTGGGCACATATGATTAAACAATGTGTATTGCTATCTTTCAGGATAACCCACTAAAGTGATCAATTAAGTTGGGTTAATTTGGTATTTAAATGATCATGGGGTCATATGTGCAGATACCAGGTTGTAATTGTAATTTATTGAGGGGCTAAATTACAAAAGTACAACATCTATAAATAAGGGGTTATGGTCCCTAACCTAGGGTTACATTCTCTAATTCTCTTCACCCCCATCTAAGAGAGAAATTCGGATTTTAGAGGAACCCTAAGGTTAGAAGATCATTAAAAACCCAAATCAAGATTTCATCCATGGATTCAGGTATAAGCTTCCGCTCTTTTGATTATTGTTAATCTCTTTGAATTAATCATGGCTATATGGTTTTAGATCTCAAGTTTTGATGTAGATCTAACAAGTGGTATCAGAGCCACCTTGATTAATTCTTAGGGATTTAAGTTTTATTGGGTTTTTGATCTTAAATCTCTGGTTAAAGATTCAATTTTTGGGTTCGGATGAACAGTAATGTTCTCGGATGAACAGCAACGAAATTTTTTTTCGGATGAACAGTAAAGTATTTTTTCGGATGAACAGTAACTGAAAAATCGTCGGTGAACAGTAACTTTTGGGAATTTTTTGGATTTTTCTTTGATTTTTCCTTCAATTTTTTCCAATTCTGGATCTGTTTTGAAAAATAAAAATCAAAGATTCTTGGGTTTGACGGCGGCGATTTCAGTTTGAAACCCTAAGGGTTCATGGCGAAAATTAAGGAGGTGGTTACCTCAAACGAACCTCGCGTTTGTTCAATTTTAACCGAGCTTCGCGCTCAACGAACCTCGCGTTCGTTCTAAGGTGAACCTCGCGTTCAACTCAGGTGAGCGTCAAGCTCAATTTTAACGAACCTCGCGTTCGTTCTAAGGTGAACCTCGCGTTCAACTCAGGTGAGCGTCAAGCTCAATTTTAACGAACCTCGCGTTCGTTCTAAGGTGAACCTCGCGTTCAACTCAGGTGAGCGTCAAGCTCAATTTTTTAACGAACCTCGCGTTCGTTCTTCAGACGAACCTCGCGTTCGTACTTCAGACGAACCTCGCGTTCGTACTTCAGACGAACCTCGCGTTCGTACTTCAGACGAACCTCGCGTTCGTACTTCAGACGAACCTCGCGTTCGTGCTTCAGTCGAGCCTCGCGTTCGAACTTCAGACGAACCTCGCGTTCGTACTTCAGACGAACCTCGCGTTCGTACTTCAGACGAACCTCGCGTTCGTACTTCAGACGAACCTCGCGTTCGTACTTCAGACGAACCTCGCGTTCGTACTTCAGACGAACCTCGCGTTCGTACTTCAGACGAACCTCGCGTTCGTACTTCAGACGAACCTCGCGTTCGTACTTCAGACGAACCTCGCGTTCGTACTTCAGACGAACCTCGCGTTCGTACTTCAGACGAACCTCGCGTTCGTACTTCAGACGAACCTCGCGTTCGTACTTCAGACGAACCTCGCGTTCGTACTTCAGACGAACCTCGCGTTCGTACTTCAGACGAACCTCGCGTTCGTACTTCAGACGAACCTCGCGTTCGTACTTCAGACGAACCTCGCGTTCGTACTTCAGACGAACCTCGCGTTCGTACTTCAGACGAACCTCGCGTTCGTACTTCAGACGAACCTCGCGTTCGTACTTCAGACGAACCTCGCGTTCGTACTTCAGACGAACCTCGCGTTCGTACTTCAGACGAACCTCGCGTTCGTACTTCAGACGAACCTCGCGTTCGTACTTCAGACGAACCTCGCGTTCGTACTTCAGACGAACCTCGCGTTCGTACTTCAGACGAACCTCGCGTTCGTACTTCAGACGAACCTCGCGTTCGTACTTCAGACGAACCTCGCGTTCGTACTTCAGACGAACCTCGCGTTCGTACTTCAGACGAACCTCGCGTTCGTACTTCAGACGAACCTCGCGTTCGTACTTCAGACGAACCTCGCGTTCGTACTTCAGACGAACCTCGCGTTCGTACTTCAGACGAACCTCGCGTTCGTACTTCAGACGAACCTCGCGTTCGTACTTCAGACGAACCTCGCGTTCGTACTTCAGACGAACCTCGCGTTCGTACTTCAGACGAACCTCGCGTTCGTACTTCAGACGAACCTCGCGTTCGTACTTCAGACGAACCTCGCGTTCGTACTTCAGACGAACCTCGCGTTCGTACTTCAGACGAACCTCGCGTTCGTACTTCAGACGAACCTCGCGTTCGTACTTCAGACGAACCTCGCGTTCGTACTTCAGACGAACCTCGCGTTCGTACTTCAGACGAACCTCGCGTTCGTACTTCAGACGAACCTCGCGTTCGTACTTCAGACGAACCTCGCGTTCGTACTTCAGACGAACCTCGCGTTCGTACTTCAGACGAACCTCGCGTTCGTACTTCAGACGAACCTCGCGTTCGTACTTCAGACGAACCTCGCGTTCGTACTTCAGACGAACCTCGCGTTCGTACTTCAGACGAACCTCGCGTTCGTACTTCAGACGAACCTCGCGTTCGTACTTCAGACGAACCTCGCGTTCGTACTTCAGACGAACCTCGCGTTCGTACTTCAGACGAACCTCGCGTTCGTACTTCAGACGAACCTCGCGTTCGTACTTCAGACGAACCTCGCGTTCGTACTTCAGACGAACCTCGCGTTCGTACTTCAGACGAACCTCGCGTTCGTACTTCAGACGAACCTCGCGTTCGTACTTCAGACGAACCTCGCGTTCGTACTTCAGACGAACCTCGCGTTCGTACTTCAGACGAACCTCGCGTTCGTACTTCAGACGAACCTCGCGTTCGTACTTCAGACGAACCTCGCGTTCGTACTTCAGACGAACCTCGCGTTCGTACTTCAGACGAACCTCGCGTTCGTACTTCAGACGAACCTCGCGTTCGTACTTCAGACGAACCTCGCGTTCGTACTTCAGACGAACCTCGCGTTCGTACTTCAGACGAACCTCGCGTTAGGTTAATTTAGCTTCAGTACCTAGAAACACTTGGTGGTTAGACTCTGGTGCTACTACTCACATAAGTGTTTCTATGCAGGGCTGCATGAGCTACCGAAAGCCAAGTGATGTTGAAAGACACATCTTTGTGGGCGACGGACACTCGGTAGATGTGGAAGCAATTGGGCACTTTAGGTTGTTGTTAGGAACTGGTTATTATTTGGATTTAAAAGATACTTTTGTAGTACCGTCTTTTAGACGGAATTTGGTTTCTGTTTCTGTATTGGACAAATCAGGTTATTCTTGTTCATTTGGAAACAGTCAATTCAGTTTATCTTTTAATTCAAATATTGTGGGAACCGGTTACTTGAGTATTTATGACAACCTATATTTGCTTGATACAATTGCTTCTTACAATGAATCCTTGCATGTGGAATCACGTGGTACTAAGCGTAAATTAAATAAGGAAAATTAGGCGACATTATGGCATAAGCGCTTAGGTCATATCTCAAAAGGTAGAATTGAGCGTCTTGTGTCTGATGGCATTTTGGATTCCC